GACTCAGCCTTCCATCCTTCCGAGGTGGGTCAAATGAGGACCAAGACTGTGGGGGCGATATGCTGACTCTGTAAACCACTTAGAGAGGGCTGAAAGCCCTATGAAGCGGTATATAAGTCTAACCGCTATTGCTATCTTTCCTCGCTGCTGGGTGGTCAGCAGAACCGGACAGGTGCGCACCAAGCAAATACCTGCCCACGTGGGCAGCGTGGCTGAAGGATAAAAGGCCACAGAGCAAGAAGGCTTGCTCTGAATCCCAGGAAGGGAAAGGTCCAAATTCGATCCAGATTTGGCGATGTTTTTGCTCTGCCAACCTTTTGGGAAACAGCCAGGAGTTTCCTCCCTTCTCCTGGAAAAGCCACTCGGGAATTTGGGCCTTTGAGAAGTTTGGCCCTTTTACACCCCAGGCCTTGTTCTCACACTCGGATTCACCCACGTGCGAATTAAATTAAAAGTGACACAATGTGAATAAGAGCAACCTCCCCAGAAGCCACTTCAGGAGGTGGGGAAAAAACCATATATAAGAGAGGCTGGTTTTCCCTGGCCTTCGGAAGGTGAGGGTTGACTCTGGGCCACGGGTGTCGTCCCCCCCCCCATTGCCCCGCAGCCCAGCAGCTCCAGGCAGGAACCTGGGTGGTGGAGCACCAAGTGCCCCCCAAGCAGCCTTTTGGGAGCTGCTCCCTTTTTTGGCTTCCTTCTTCCCCAAAGACAGGCTCCCCATCTTCCTGAAGGCAGCAGGGGGGCAACTGAGATGGGGTAGCATCTTTGAGGGCACTGGATCCAGCCAGGCCCCTGGTTTCAGCCCAACCCAGAGTGTAAAATGGGGCTCTGATTGGGAACATGGCGTTTGATCTTCAGGCGCCAAGGCTGTTGTGCAATTAAAGTTATTTTGCTCGTTAATTCTTAAACCAACCGGACAATGTAATGACTTCTCAGCCAGCATTTCCAGTTTTTTGCCTCTTCCAGGGAAGGGGACAGAACGAGGTGCGTTTTCTTAATTTTCTATTTCAAAAACAAGCATTCCTTCACCAAATATCGGCTGACTGTGGGCAACTTCAGTGGAGGGGGGGGGCTTCAGGTTAGTCCCTGAATAGTCGTCCTTCTCCATGAGCCTCTCTGAGCTCAGGCCAAGGAATAGCCTCCTCCGATGGCCGATGCTGTGAAGATGCCCTGGGCTGGCCTTCTGGGCACCCACACCCTTCTCTCCCCCATGCCCAGGTGACACTCTGAGCAGACACCACAACATGCCCTTCCTTCCCCACCCAAGACAAGTGGCACCCCCCCCCCAAAAGTGCAAGTATAAGCGGGCCTGGTGATACAACAGCTGCCACCCCTCCAATGGCAAATACAGGGCAGCAGAAGCGGGGTCTTTTGCAGATGGCATCACCTGGTATGCGTGGAAAGGTCTCCTCCACTTGACAGGGAGTTCATATTTTTTTAAAAATACATGATTAAATGACCTTTAAACAGCTACTCCCAAGAGCCTTGGATTAGTGGGGGTGGTGGTGGCATTTCCATCTCTCCCCCTTCATGTGCGCAGCAATTGGAGAGCCAACAAATGTAAAGTTACTAAGTATAACCAATAAATCAATATAGGAAATGCGACCCAATCGAAGGTCTCTTGAGGGTCCTTTATGCAAAGGGCAGAAGAGTTGGCGGATTTTGCCAGGGAGAAGGCTCTGGACTTCTCAACACAGGATCAGACCTGGCACCTCCGGGGAGGGGGGGGGGCTCCTCCAGGCAGCCCCTTGCTCAGACTAAGAGCCAAGGTGGCGCAGTGGTTAAATTCAGCACTGCAGTTCAGCAGTTTGGCTGTTCAAATCCCACCAGGCTCAAGGTTGACTCAGCCTTCCATCCTTCCGAGGTGGGTAAAATGAGGACCCGGATTGTTGGGAGCAATATGCTGACTCTGTAAACCGCT